CAGTGCACCTGCTTCCTTCCATAATGATCCTGCGAAAGATGAGGGTCATGTGGGTGGGGGGTTTTGTTGGTGGCCAATGGACTGTACCGTACACTTGCATTCTTTTATCACGGCGTGTATAGTAATGGACAATAACATATTAACCTGCAAGTTAATATACATATGTGTGTGGGCGGTGTCCAGATACCGTTAATGGCCGTACGGTACAATTAAGCATCGGGATAAAAGGGCGTACAGCGTTAACAGCAATGCTTAGGTTACCTACTTGATTGCACACTTGAGATAGATTAATCGGTATAGTTTGAAGAGGTGCTCATTGGAAGTCACACCTAAGGTGATTAGCTAAACTCAATATCAACGGGTTGACCCCTGTGAGCCCACAACAGGGATCAACCCGTTGATAAAACGAATACCCCGACAGATGGTCCTCTCACGAGGACACCTTGGGCCGTACGTATAACGCCCAGGGTACGGAAGGGGAGAGTCTCCCCAAGGAAATGTTCGCGAAGGGTGCGAACGTTTAAATGGTAGGTTTTGCGTCAAGATAATGACAATGGAGCGAAGTTTTTCATAAAAATAAACATGAACAGACGTTTCAGCGGAGATTTCATAAACAGGCAAAGAATCTACAGCCCTCTACAATCATGTGATGTTTGCCTCTGCGACCTTAACTTAGAGAAGCCCGACCCTATTGAATCCCCACCCTGGGATGGGAGGCATCCTTACCCTGGGAGGGGAATGAACGTACACCAAAAATTAAGCTGGGGCGCCGATGGTCATGTATACCGCTACTCTGCTATTCACTACATTATTCGACTGAGCGCTTATTTCTCTGACTTCTGCTGTTGAATTCGTCGGGTACTACTCTCATTTTATTCTACTGCTGCAACCAACTACCAGTGAATGTGTATTGGTGTAGTCGACGATGTTCAGGTAAATCATTACTCCTTACACACGGTTATACCCTTCTGTTTATTCCCCTACTATCTACTATTAAATGCGTCGAGTATTTCTCTACTTGTATTCAACTACCGATGTTATTCACCGGTTTGTTCATTTGGCTGTTTATTCAGCTACTATTTGCCATCAAAAATGCGTCAGGTACTTCTCTACTTGTATTCAACTGCTGTCGTTATTCACTGGTTTATTCGCTTGTCTGTTTATTTTGCCACTATCTGCTACTAATGCATCAGGTATTTCTCTACTTACATTATTCTACTACTAGCACTGCGCTGGATCTGTACTTTCGATGGGCAGTGAATAATAGAGTCCCCTTGGGGACTTACACCACTTATCTTGAGTTTATTGCCTGGTGTAATTCTAAGAAGGGAGCCGAATTGTTTTAACAAGAACTAGCAACTTTTTGTGTTATTTATTTGGTGTTTTATGTTAAATCGCATTCGTTGTATATCTAATTGAGATTGGAAAATCCTGGCTCATGACTCTGCCTTCTTCCGTATTCTTTATTTTCGCTTTGATTTTTGATGTTAATTCTTAACGTTGATCCCAACGAGGTGCGGGGAATAGCGCAAATGTAATTGTGTAACTACTACTTGTTTTCCTTTTCAGCTTGTTTTTCATCCGGAATGCAATCCTGTTTCCGTAGCCCATTGCTTCTCGACGTTAAAAGGTAGTTCATGTAAGCTTTACATTTCTTAGATTCCATTTAATAGTTTGTGCTCCCTTTGTTGTTCTTCTCGATCTGATGGTTCCATTTGACCATGACTTTCTCTATGTCTTGTTTAAGAGATATTCACTTATCTAGACTCAAACAACTGATTTGGGTTAGCCGTTTATTTCAGAAGGTGCTCTTTTTCTGGCCTTCAAAATTTTCGTTTTTCTATTCATGCTTTTTGTTCAGATAATCATTTTACGAGCGTTCTGGTGCCGTTTTTTCTGGATTCATAGCATTGGTTTGTAAATGGAATTCAAGGGAACTAGATAATCGGTGATCACCTCTGAGGTTCAAAATTGCCTCACAAAAATAATCTCGCTTGTCTTACCATTTGGCTTTTGTCACAGTATTATCCATGGATGAATTTTAGTAAAGACAGAATTTCTAGAGATGGAAGTAGACAAAACCCTTTATCTTGTCCAGAGGTATGGAAGATCGCTGTGCCTCGAACGTTAGAGTTGGACACGTCCCTACGAGACCTTGAGGGATGTGGAGTTTAGGAAAGACCCGTTTTTTTCGTCACGTCTTCTTCGAAATTTGTGAAATGGTGGCACCGGACCTCGAGCACGGAAGGCACACATCTGATTTTCCTGTGGCTGATCAGGTGACCATTGCCATACATTTACTTGGAAGAAACGTGATGCAGAGCGAATCGGCTAGACTTGCTGGCTGCCATCAGTCTACAGTCTCGCGTGTTTTAATGGCATTCAATAATGCCATCAACCAAAGAGCCGCTTGATTCATAAATCGGCCGGATGAGCAAGAGGAATTGAATATCAGTAACTCTTCCTATCAAAAATATGGTCTTCCGAGGCTAACTGGGATTATTGACGGCACCCACTGCCGCATCCAAAGACTTGAATACGGCGAGAGAGATTACATATGCAGGAAAGGATACCATAGCCTTAATGTGGGAATCATGGTTGACTACGATATGAAAATAGGATGGGTATGCGCCAAATATCCGGGATCTGCCCACGATTCCCGCTTTTCAAGACATCGCTGCTATACGAGCAGCTGAAAAGAGGAGAAGTTAAGAGCGTCTTGTCAGGGGATTCAGCCTATGCAGCGGAGACCCTTCTGTTGAAGCCGCTGAGCACTATAAGGACTAGACAGGGTGTTCATTATCAATTTCTTCTATAACTCCATCGCCGAAATATTCTCTGCAGGGGAACACTACAATAGAGCCATTTGCTCTGCTCGCCTCCTGATAGAGCAGGCTTTCGGGATTCTGAAGTGGCAGTCCCACATTTTATACCGAATGCAGCTGAAAACAACAGAAAGTTGCTTTTTATCAGTTATTCTTCTGACTAAACCCATTAAAGGTATTCTCCAGCAAAAGCAACGCGAATAATAGTGGCATGTTGCGTGCTTCGCAATATTGCGATAAGTCGAAACGAACCGATCCATTTCAACGACTACACTGGGGAGAACTAGCAAGGGGAAGAGGTTCCGTCCGAAGCTTCCGATGGAGTCCCAAAAGCAGTGCCATCTCTTTCAGGAACGGACTCATATCACGCTATTTTTAAGGTAAAAACCAAATCACTACTAACTACATACTCTACATAATTTCTACTGACTACCTGATAACCTAATTGCTACTGATTGCTACGAAATCCTAAATTACTAAGCAATATTCATCACTTTTTAGCCACTACTTCTTCAACCCACACTAAAAAATTTCAAGCAGATCATCAATTACGAGTTTACCAAATATATCTGTACTACGTGTACTTCGCCTAATGCTTTCCTTTGTGCAGATGCTTTATTTCATTGTATTTATACTATATGTCTCCTTGTGTTGTCTTTCTTTTTCTGAAAATGGAGCTTCACAATTACCATTTACTTATGAACGCGTGTATATGTGAAAAGAACACATGTTCACATGTAATGTAAAGAAAACATATGTAACAACATATATACATATGTAAAAAGATCAACGTGTAATGAACACACGTAAGCTCGGTTAAGTGAGATCTTAAATGAGTATCGGCGAGCGTAGATCAACCCTGATGATGTGGCGGTTACCTGAAAGTAATTGACTGCTCCGAAAGATTAATCCTCTTACCTGTCCTTCATTTTTTCTTATTTGTAACTCTGGACCTTCTTGACCCAGTATTCTATCTGCAAAATGGCGAGATGAAGCTTTTCATTAATCAGCTCCTTTTTGAGTTGCTGGTTTTCCAACTCCTGCCGCAAGAACTCGTTCCTCGCCGACTGCCTTCCCTGCGTACTCGCAGACTCCTTCCTCCCCGACTCCCTTTCTTGCGAGCCTGGAGGGGGCAATACCTGCGAGTACGAAGGGGACGGTGAAGACGTGGGCGAAAGAGACTCCA